TATATGTTAGGGCTGTCAGTCGATTAAAATTTTTTATCTAATTAATCACAGGGGGCTGCGATTAATTAATCTAATTCATTCAGAAACGAATCACCGCTGTGTTGCTCGGAGACACACAACAGTTCTGCTGTGGCTTTAGGCTATAGGTAATATATTCACACAATATTGTATTTAAAATATAACAATATTAATTTAAAATAAAATGTAAATATTAACTTCTTATTTACTGAAATGTTGTATAAAATTATATTTAATCTTGTGATATTCGGGACAAAATCAGCACTCGTGTGATAGCCTACTGCTCTCGCTGCTCGTGATGTCGCTTATCATATGAGATAAATATGAGCCAAAAACTCATACAGAGGTATTTTTTTGCCCCAATATCTTGAATTTTAGAGCATAACTTCATTTATGGATCATATTTGTCAACAGTCAACTGTATGAACTGTAAGATGACGTACAGGTCTGGGGGCGGGGCCAGTGCGTTAACTGCCTTAAAATATTTTAATTGAGTTTTTTTCATAACTAATTAATTAAGTTAATGCGTTAAACTGACAGCCCTAATATATATATATATATACAGTATATGAATCCCCGGGAAACTAATGTTAGTATTTTTTTAACAGGTCACAGACACTTATCCTTTCTAATTTAATTCAATTCTAATTAAAAATAATCTTGTCATTTAACGGTTAACAATCGGTTAACGAGCGTCGGTTGTCGGTAAGGAAAAATAACCAAAATAAACATCACTAAAACAGAATTGAACTGAATGACAATTTATAGGATTCACTTCTACATTTAAATTGGTTGTCACATGGTGCCTGGGTCAAAGTTGTTTATATGATTTAAGTATTTTATCTTCTGGTTATTTTCATTTCTCTCAGGTTTTTTGATTTGTTTGAGAAATATGGTGGCTATAAGAACGGAAAACTCAAGCTGAAAAAACCAAAACAGCTCCAGGTGGGTCTATTTTGAAGTACAAGTGATCTATGTGGTTAATTTATTTTTATGACAAGTGCTGCTTGATCTGTAGATGCAAGAACCAACATAATATTTCAGTTTCATAACAGGTTTGCCTCCATCCTAATGATTTACTTTGTATAAGGCCAGGAATTTGAACCACAGGGTCAAAGGTCAAACAGGATTGAGCTGTCTTTTTTTAAGACAGATGTAGTGTTATGTCTGGAATGCTGCAGCCGTGAGACCCATCAGCGTGTCATGCACATGTGCATCTGTTGGGTTTTGTGTGAAAATGAACTGTGTGGACAGTTGATTTAGGCTTTGGCCCATTTGATCTTATCTGTGACAATGTGCAGTTGTGATTTGTACATCATTATGAAAACCTGAACACTTTATTTGATGTTTTACAGGAAGTGCTGGATATTGCTCGTCAGCTGTTGGCAGAACTGGTCCTACATAATGATTGTGAGATTGAGGAGAAGAAATCCAAACTAGAACAACTGAAGACGGTTCTGGAGATGTAAGTAAACTGTTCAAAAGTTCGATAGCTGTGAAACCAAACCCTCTGTTTCCAACCCTGTGAGTTTATGGAAAGCTACTGTACACACACCATCATCTCATCTCAATCATTTCTAAAACATGTTGGATTCCTTCTGTCTATTGTTTATGCTTCACTTCTCTTTTCACATCCTCGGGCAGAAGGTCTTGCTGAAAGTATAATATTTTCCAGATATATATTGTATTTTTGATTAGCTTCACTAGTAGGCCCTCACGGAATGTGCACAAATGCTTGCATATTTTATACACATTTGATCAGTTTAGCCAAAATGGAAAAACTGAAATGAAAATAATAATCGGTTACTTTTAAAATTAAAATATAAAATAAAATAAAAAATAATAATAATATTATAAAAGAATTTTAAATAAATATTTGAAATCAAATATTTAAAAAGTTAGAAGTAACAAGTTTGATTTTTTGAAAATTTAGTTTTATTCTCAAATGTAACATCACTGTTAACGGTTACTAAATAAGCTAACCTCAATACATTTAATTTTAACAAGATTTCCATCAATATTTCAATTTTGCTCAATGCAGAGAAGCCGATAATTAATTGTTCATGTTACAGTCAATACCGATAAATGGCGAATATTAAAATTCTGTACTGTTTTGAAATTTAATTAGATTAAAAATAGAAGGTATCACCATATTATAATGTACAACATGATATGCATTTTGAGATTTGCTGAAGTTTACATTTAACAGTGTTTTTTTATTTTTTAGATTAACTTTATTTGCCCAAAATGTAAAAATAGTGGAAATGAGCATGTACAATTAAATGTAAAATTAAATATCCAATATTGACCACTACCGATAAAAAGAAAATCTCTAATATTGGCTGGTTAAAGATATGGTACCGATATGTTGTGTCTCCCTAGTTGTACCAGTGAAATTTAGGTGGGAGATTTAGTGTCTTTAGAAGGCAAAATCACAAAGGAAAATCGATTTGTAAAGTTTGCGGAATCAGCACAATCAGACTTGATGACACACACATAGCCAAAACTTACATTGCTGTCATATTTTCTAGTCTTAAACATTATGAATACTTATTTCAGGAGAAACCTGATATTTCATGAACAGCTGAATGTATGAAGTGTGACCTTGACTCATTTGCTTTCTTAGATGTCCTCATATGGATGAGTTTCTTAACTTCATTCCTTTTCTCTTTCTTCTCCTCTTTTTGTGTCCCTCTTTTTGTCCTGGCCGTTCTCTCCAAAGGGAATCCAGCCTGAATGATAATCAGTGCGCACCCTCTTATCCCCTGTCTCTTTAGAAAACAGGCAAAGTGGATCATAACCCTCATTAACCTGAGATCTTGTCCAAATTACTGACACTTTAATGAGGGCTCCAAAATTGACCGTACCTTGGAGATGAAACCCTTTTGCAATTCTGTGTGGCATCTGCATGCCATTCTGATAGTGTTTCTAATCTCTCACGTTCCCTCACTTTCTCCAGACCCCTCTCACCGAGTTGATTAGGTGCCTCAAATGAGGCACCTAATCAACACATTATCGGTTGTTCGGGGTCATAGATTTGCTAGGAAACAGATACCTGGGGAAGTGCTTTACTTTGGGATGATTAAACATAATGCAGCAGAGCAAGTTCACTCCAGAGTCAGTTTCTGGCCAGTGAGATGAAGAACCACCTTTAGACCGGGTTTGGACAAAGTTGTATCAAATTAGAAATATTCTAAACTTTGGATACACTGATATTACAATTCTGGCCGATATTAATGAGCCGAAAATTATTTAGATATTATGGGTGATAACTGATAATTGGCCAATATTAAAATTCTATTTTGTAAAAAAAAAAAAAAAAAAAGATAAATGTATCAAATTAGAAATATTCTAAACTTTGGATACACTGATATTACAATTCTGGCCGATATTAATGAGCCGAAAATTATTTAGATATTATGGGTGATAACTGATAATTGGCCAATATTAAAATTCTATTTTGTAAAAAAAA